ATTCCTCCCTATTTTTAATGAAAGTAACCCTCAGTCAGCACTGCCCAGTTATATTATCCCTTATTTCATTTCCCATGAAAGAAAAAAATATACCTGTTGCCCTGGAATCCCTGGTCTTCCATTTTCTCCCCTTTGGCCCTTTAAAATTTAACAAATGTTATTAATTAGTTTGCACACTTATGATGCAATCACATATAAAAACAAACCATGTATTACTTTATAGGCTAGAATAAATGTCGCAAAAGCAGTAATGCAGCTATGTAAATGATGTTAGATGTAGGGTAGTCTCTCAACAAAAAAAAAGTGAGAGAAAATTAACCTAATATATTTAAAATGGCTAGAGACAAGGAATAAACTTTGGGAGAAAAGGTAAATAATTGTAGGTAGCTGAGAATATTTTTCCGAGTCCACATAAACAGCATGAAAGTAATTTAAAAATTCAATGGCTGTGGACTTTTTATTAATTTCAATTATATAATTATGTTTAGTGTTGATTATACACATTTGAGGACAAGAAGACCTCTTTAAAGGAATTTTTAAAAATTAAAAATATACTGTAAATATATTTTGAATGAATATAATTAAATCAGGACACAGAAGAAGGGAGAAAAATTGATAAAGATATAAACACATTTGTCCACTCAATAAATATTTTTGGATATCCACCATTTATAAGACATTGTACTAGACCTGGAAGCACCACTTCATTCCCCTGTGGAACAAGATAACTGATAGTTTCTAGGAAAATATATGCCTTGATAATATAATCAATTAAAAATCTAGTGACTAAAATTTTAAACCACTCTTCCACAGTGATTTGTTCATTTTCTTACATAGGTGAATTCCCAATATTCATTGACAAGCACCCATTTGTGGGACCTTAGAGACACGAAAACAAAGACAGCATTGCTGCCTTCAAACTTCTTACTGAGTGGGGGGAAAGATAATCAATTAAGTCAAGGGTGAAAATTTTAAAAAACAGAATACCAAAAATACTGTCTGATAAGTATACAATGTACAATTAAACATCTGGCTGGATACTATTGAAACATAGAAAGGGACATCTGACAGAGAGAGTAAGGAAGATGACTCAACTTTGACTGCAACCTTTTGGGATGACTAAGAGGTAGCCAATGAGAAAAGATATGAGGGTGTTTGAGGGAGTCAACTACAGAACAAAGGCAAGTAATTTCTTTTGGCTAAAGCAGGGGCAGGAATGGGTAACAGTGGGCAGAGTGGCAAGAGATAAGACTGAAGAAGAAGATTCAGTCAAACCAGGAGGAATGTTATGAGACAGAGCTTATCTTGAACTGTGTGGGGCACCACTGATGGATTCCTAAGCAGATAGGCAATTCAGTTATTGCATACTGGTAAAGGGGGTGGGTGGGGAGGAGGTGGGTAGCGGGGAAGTAGACTGGACTCAAATAGACCAGTTAGAAAATATTATAGTAATCCAGGACCACTGATAAGAAATGATTAAGATTGGGGGGGGGGCGGTCAGGGAACAGAGGACAACCAACTTCAAGAGACATTTAGATATAAAATTGGATGTGAAGAAAGAGATTGAGTTTTAAGATGACTTCTAAGACTTTATTTCTTGGGTAACTGTGTTGTGGTACCAGTTACTATGACATAGACTCTATGGGTAGGAGATAGTTTATGGGGAAAGATGACAAGTCCTGATTTAAACATGTTGAGGTACATGAGACCTTGGTATTCCAAAAGCAGTACCAAGAAGAAAATTGAAATATATGGGTCTAGAGCTCACAGTTACTTAAAATTTACCTCACTCCTAATTTCAAAATTAACTTAGAAGAATCACAATGATACAATAATACTTGAGTATCTTCAGTAAAAAACAAAAACAAAACACATAAACCCTGCTTTTTCTGAAAAACAAAAAAACAAAAAACAAAACAACTGTTAGACTGTTACCTTAGCAGCTTTTGACTCTATTATTATCTATTTGAAATTTTCTTTTATGCCTCCAAAAATTCTAGAACTCTCAAAATTCTGTGAAATTTTGCAAATAATTTTTCTTTTCACATTAAGCTTATTCTACACAAAACTAAGCCATGATAACTGAGTTTTATAATCTTAAAAACATTGTAAAAGTACTGTCTGGGCATTAAATATATAATTCGTGGTTGGAAAGGTCTTCCGTTTCTAAAACTTAACAGGTTGAAAAACCAACAGATATAATTTATTCCAGATAAGCATACCATTGATCCTGCTAGTGGCATCCTATTTATGGGTCAGTGTTCAGTTAGTGAAAAAAACCCTTCGAATAGCTACTTAAATTGAGGTGAAACTGTCCTTGTCTTCCATAGTAGTAGCATGGTTCTCCTCTTTGTTTTTGTTGCTAAGACACCCAAAAGGAAATGACCTTCTTAACCACCCTCAATTCCTTGGCCCAACATAATTTTCTGTTAAATTTTCCTTCTGATTAGTATGATTCCTTCTATTGATTAGTATTACATTAGATATTAATAATTTCTTATCAAATTTCCTTGTGCCATAAGCCATTTCAAATCATTTTAAAATATATTCACTATAAACAAGTAAATATATATTAAAGTGTGTAATAAAATATACACTGAGTGGCCATATTGTTATGACCACCTGACGTTTGTAAGCAAATTAGCTATAATTTTGCACTGAAGTTGCTAGAGGGCCAGATCATTATAAATGTCTGAATAGCACAACATACCTAAGTATCATCGCTGATCAAGTTCGTCCTATCATGTTGATGGCGTATCCCAATGGAGATGGCTTCTTCCAACAAGACAATGCGCCATGCCACGGTGCTCGTATTGTGCAGGAGTGGTTTCAAGAACATGAGGGAGTCTTTAGACTTTACTTTGCTTAGGTGGCCCCACAATCACCAGATCTCAATCCGATTGAGCAGTTGTGGGATGAAGTTAAAAGAGCCATCAGGCAGCTGGTTCCACAACCATCAGATCTCACAGAACTGGACAGTGCTATTCATCAGGCACGGTGTCAGAGTCCTCACATCACCTTTCAACATCTTGAGGAGTCAATGCCAAGAAGAATCGCCGCAGTATTAAAGGCAAAAGGTGGCCCAACGAAGTACTGATGGGGTGGCCATAATAATCTGGCCACTCAGTGTATATCTTTATTTTGTTGAATCACTTGGTTTTAAGATTTTTACAACAATAAAGTGGTAAAAAATCTTTTTTTATTTTATTTTATTGTTGACACTATTACAGATGCCCTCCATTTTTCCCCCTTTTCCCCACCTCCACCCAGCACCCCCCTACCCCCGCCCAATCTTTCACCACATTATTGCCTGTGACCATGGGCTATGTATATATGTTCTTTGATTAATCTTCCAGGTCCCCCAGCCCTCCCCCATCTTGGATCTGTCAGTCTGTTCCATGTATCCATGCCTCTGGTCCCATTTTTTTTCATCAGTTTATTTTGTTCATTAGATTCCACATATGAGTGAGATCATGTGATACTTATCTTTCTCTGACTGGCTTATTTTGCTTAGCATAATAATCTCCAGGTTTACCCATACTGTCTCAAAGGGCAGGAATTCCTTCTTTTTTTATAACTGTGTAGTATTCCATTGTGTAAATGTACCACAAATTTTATATACACTTATCTGCTGATGGGTACTTGGGCTGTTTCCAAATCTTAGCTATTGTAAAAAGCACTGCTATGAACATAGGGGTGCATATATTCTTTCTGATTGGTGTTTCGGGG